ATTTCTGACGCTTTTGTACGATACGACTTGTTTTTCTTATCCCATTTTGGCGCTTATGAACGATACGATTTTGGCGCTTTTGTACGATACGACTTTTTTTTTCTTATCTTATTTTGGCGCTTATGTCTTACACAGATATAGACTATGGTAAGAGATGCCACCTTTGATCCAATTAAATCATAGATTGCGGCATTACTCTTTCATGTGTGTGGAAAATTATTATTATAATATGATAAAGATAACTAGTGAAAGAATTACATATTATTATTAACATGTTGATAATTTTAATGAATAAAACTGATTGTTAGTGTACTATAATATATTATTTAATTTATTATCTTAAATCTAAAATATAGTCTAAATATAATCTAATAAAATATGATGATACACATTATGTGTATATCATTACAATAGTATGAATTCGATACAAATATGAGTAGGTAAGTATATCATATGAGTAGAAAATGCAGAAATACATAGTGCAAATACACGGCGTATAGTGTTTATAGTTTCAGATTCGAACTACCATCATTAAATTACAATATTATTATATTATTATATTTTGATGTATTGTTCCGAAGGGAGTAGATTGGTAAGGGGGAAAAACCACGCAATTTGCAAATGCTGATGTATCAATATAATAATAATAATAATATCGGGCCCACGTATTGACGTATAATATTATATTTCATTCAAAAGCCGCGGGCTCGTGGTGTTAAATTACCTCTAAAATTATTTTCGTATCGATCTCCGTCGTCACCACGGCGTATTGTTAAACGGAATAGTGAGATGTTTTTATTTCAGTCCATTAGGTTTAGAGTTTAGTAACAACACGAAAAAAAAATCTCGTTGTAACATCTTGGATGATTTCCCATCGGACTGCTAGTGCCGCCACTGCCATTGTGCTACACAAGCGGCGCCTATATACAAATGCATAATATTTTTCGCCATCTACTCTCCGCTGGTCGTGCTGTGCAATGTTTACCAGTCACTTAAGTTAAAAGCAAATAATACATAAACAAAACAACTCGAATTTTCGGATACATATATAATATGTTTCAGACTATTTTTATCCCTTTAAACTCCGTAATTTTCKTCTTTATATTATAACTTTTATTCTGTGTATACGAGTAGGTACTGCAGATCTTTACGTTCACCACTCTCTCAAAGGCAACCGGTTATTGTAAAGTGTTKTCTTATCCTAGTCACAAGATGGTCAAGATGACACAATTATATACGATTAATATTTCATAGTTTTCGTGCAATAAACTGGAATTGCAAATTACAATAATTGCATAAAAAAAAAAACTAAAATATTAATATTATTAATATAAATTACTGCTACATGATTTGTATATCAATAGCCCAGTGGCATCAATTTTGGTTTAAATGGTGAGAGGGGAGAAGGAGGAGATGGAATTTTTCTRTACTAATGCAATGAACTTTTACTATACAATTCAAATAAGTTAATTTTTATTCTAGTACTATTAATTTGTGCAATGAACATTCGCCTTAAAATATTAAATAATATAATTTGTATTTTATAATTACTCATTTGTACATACTTTGATAATACAACATCTAAAATTATATTAAATTTGTCTARATTGGTTTGCTATCCATTTCTTATGAAAATTTACATAACATTATTTATTAACACTTGTCAACCAGCAAGGAYATAACTGAGAAAAAATCGGGGATGGGAGAGAGTTTAAACATAATTTTTTTTATATCGATACTAGACACTTCCAATTTTTACGCTCAAAATATAAAAATTCTAGTTCAACTTTTAAAAATGTTAGTGGGTCCKAATCCCTAACCTTCCAGTTACGGCCTTGTTCACCAATTAAAGAGCGCTGTAAAACCAACCGTCAAATACCTAATTAATATTCAGGAATTTATGTTGCCAAACATAAAAAATTGTCTTCAAATTGTCTATTGATTTCGAGGAATGATTTTATTTCGATTCAATGTTCTCATTTTAATATACCCAAATAAAAAATGGCCAACCAAAACTTCTAATACCAATAGAAAGTAATGTATCTACTCATCGATTTTTACCTTTAGTTTTTTGCCAATTAATCTCTTTGTTTTTGAGGTTTCTATGATATCTCTACTAAAAATTCTTATCAGAGTAATAGTTTTATCTTCAAAATTAATGTTGACAGTATTGAACCGTTTTAGTTAATTGATTTTTATACTTACAGTTTTTAAGACTATGACTCCATTTGAAMAATAATGAGAAATATTTTTATAGAGTTATGCACAAAGTATTTTGATCATTTTTAGTTTAAATAAAATAATTTAAAATTTCGTAAAACTATACGGTTACAATTAATAAGTWTTACACACTACATTTTACTACAGTTAACCCAACAATCATAAAATGATTAAGTATACTAACTGCATTGCTATCTGCAACAAAATTTGGYGGTGAAATTAATTTATTTCAAATCAATTTGTTACAGATACATAACAAATAACTCTAACATCATAATATGTCACATTACACTATGAATAAACTCGAGTYAAAATATTTTCTCACATTTACATACTTATTAATATAAATTCTAACTAATTTGCCTATTTCGGTTGATACATCAGAAAGAATTTATTTTACTTTTTGTTTATTGAAAAAAATACTCGAGATTAGGATGAGAGAAGAATGATTATTWTAACTTTATTGTGTATTCTTAAAAATATAAATACTTATGATTATMCTAATAATATTGAAAAACAAATGATAAAAAAGAAAGTTTTATTTACTAAAAAAGTCGATATATATTTCTGTGTTATTATATTGAGATAAATTTTAAAAGTTTTATTTAAAATTGATTAAATTCTATTTATATTTATATTGTTTATCTACATTTTTTACTTATAGTACATGGTTAATACAAATTATTAAATTGTTGTAGAATAAATATAAAATAATTACTGCAGGMATTATTTAGCAATGGATATGGTGCAAATATAATGATACATTTTTGATACGTAGTAGATCTGTAGAAGATTAAAAAATTAAAAATTATTAGGTAAGATGGATTTCATAAAAGTAATATTATAAAATACCTAAAAAATGTCAACCATTTCATTGCACAAGTCCTGGATCCAACCCAACATTGTACATAATAATTGTCAAGCAATTATTTAATGATATCTTAATAATCTTGTTCGGTAAAAACTATTCACCAAATACGCCATCTGGCTGATACTATATCTCCCTAGAAAAGAAACTTTAGACCTCAGCAGTGTTTCTCGACTTTTTACAAGCTTTCGACAAAGTCTGACACTCTGGTCTTCTTTTAAAATTAAAATTATTTCTACCCCCGCTATTCTACCTATTATTTAAATAATATTTAAGCGAGCGATATATCTTTAACAGATCAGGAATATAATTCTCCAGTATCTCTCCAATCTTAGCTGGCGTTCCTCAAAGTGCAGTTGCA